GTACGTCTCTTAAGACGGCTAATCCCGAATGTTTCTAGTTCTAGGTCTAGTATTAGTTCTAGTTTTACACTAGCACTGTTACTATGTAGAATTAACACTATACCTAGAACTAGAATCATTCAGGTTTAGCCGTCTTTAGAGACGTGTGGCTAAACCTGAATGATTCTAGTTCTAGGTATAGTGTTAGTTCTAATTTTACACTTGCACTGTTACTATGTAGAATTAACACTATACCTAGAACTAGAATGATTCAGGTTTAGCCGTCTTTAGAGACGTGTGGCTAAACCTGAATTATTCTAGTTCTAGGTATAGTGTTAGTTCTAACTTTACACTTGCACTGTTACTATGTAGAATTAACACTATACCTAGAACTAGAATCATTCGGGTTTAGCCGTCTTTAGAGACGTGTGGCTAAACCTGAATGATTCTAGTTCTAGGTATAGTGTTAGTTCTAATTTTACACTTGTACTGTCACTAGAATGAGAACTAGAAGCATTTGGGTTTAGCCGCACGTCTCTAAAGACGGCTAAATCCGAATGATTTTAGTTCTAAGTATAGTGTTAGTTCTAGTTTTACACTAGTACGCTCACTAAAAGTAACACTATACCTAGAACTAGAATTGCACGTCTCTAAAAACAGATACGTTCATTACAACAACGTTCATAGGGAGTTGGATAACCTTATACAGTATGTTTACTCAACGGACCTTGATTCTGTGCTTTTGGTAGTTCGTGATAAGATGGCGGATTTTAAATCGAGGTCACAAAACGAAGTGCCGCCAACATCAAACGAATCGACGTCAGTGTCATTTCTATTTATTCTGTGCCTCCAACATCAGGAATGCCATTCAATTTTGAAAGTAACTGGATTATAGAGATATGTTGAGTTACAAGCAGGTTTTAACATCGAACGTGGAAGTTGAAGCAACTGACGCATGCGAGTCAAGTGTTATAAAGTTCGTTGAGGACGAAGTAATGATTGTTACGGAGGCTCTTGACTGCCTATTTGATTACGGAGAGTATTGATTTTATCTGCATCCGATCTGTAAGTTTTAAAAAGGATGTCATCTCTAAGCGGGGAAATAATTTCGAGCGTTTATGATTCGTCGTCCATTGTAGTGACAAATATACGAATATTAAAAAAAAACAAGCATATCAAGTACAATAACAACAACTTTATTATACTTTTGCCATACTCCTGATAAACTATCTAGAGGATAGTTACCATGGGTTTTCTTTTAGAGATTGTATAAGATTGGCTTAAGTCTATATCTCTACCAAAGATAGATACATTAAAGCTTTTTGAACTCTATGAACGATATCTCCAACAAAACGTTAATGAGTAAGATGTCCCGAGTTGGACCTAGAGATGTCCAGTTATGCCTCGAGTACTCTTGTTTTCGTTTTGTTTTAATTACTTAATACCTCTTAGATTTTAGATACTTTGAACAAAAATAAATCTTTAGTACTTTATAAAAATGAGGTTAGATTTTGCCATTTTTCGAGTTTAAAATCAATTCGAAACACTTCATCACCGTTTCAATTTTTAGGTCAAGAAAATTGCCCCTTCGATTACATCAAAATCTACGATGGTAAAAACGAGTTCAGTCCCGTAATAGGAACGTTTTGCGGAATGGGAAAATTCCCTTACTCAATCATCGGAACGTCTCAAGACCTTTTCGTCGAATTCGTTTCATCACCGGCAGGTAAATCCATAACTAATAATAATTATTTACGTAACCAGTTATAAAAAAACAAAATTAGCCGTTTCATAACGTGTTAAATACAAAATTTTTTCTAATTCCATTGAAAAAGGAATTTTTGTTCAAAACTTGACTTATTCTATTAGTGACAGATGTCAAATTTTGGATTTTTTTTTTACTGCTACATAATTTATTTTATTTTTGTTAAAAAAAAGGATAAAAACGCGAATTACAATAAAAAATACGTTTTATAAAACTTCAAATTCATTCAAATTGTCACATTGACAACTAAAAAATTAATGGCGCAATGTCGCCAACTTAAATTTTTTCCATAAAATGTTACTAAAATCGCATTACACCATCGGATGCGAATCACGAAAAATTAATTAGTGTTAAGTACAAAATTTTATCTAATTCCATTAAAAAAGGAATTTTTGTTCAAAACTTGACATATTCTATTAGTGACAGATGTCAAATTTCAATTGACAATTAGATAATATTTTTTACTGCTACATACCTATTTCTCTACATTATCAAAATTTATTTTACTTTTGTTAAAAAAAAAAGGATAAAAACGCGAATTACAATAAAAAACACGTTTCATAAGACTTCAAATTCATTCAAATTGTCACATTGACAACTAAAAAAATTAATGGCGCAATGTCACCAACTTAAATTTTTTCCATAAAATGTTACTAAAATCTCATTACACCATCGGATGCGAATCACAAAAAATTAATTAGTGTTAAGTACAAAATTTTATCTAATTCCTTTAAAAAAGGGATTTTTGTTCAAAACTTGACATATTCTATTAGTGACAGATGTCAAATTTCAATTGACAATTATATAATTTTTTTTACTGCTACATACCTATTTCTCTACATTGTCAAAATTTATTTTATTTTTGTTAAAAAAAAGGATAAAAACGCGAATTACAATAAAAAACACATTTGATAAAACTTCAAATTCATTCAAATTGTCACATTGACAACTAAAAAGTTAATGGCGCAATGTTACCAACCTAATTTTTTTCCATAAAATGTTACTAAAATCTCATTACACCATCGGATGCGAATTACAAAAAATTAATTAACTTAAGCATAAATATAACAAAAAACAAATCTTATTATCTAGGTCCTTTGCTCAACACCGGATTTCATTTCAACGTTGGAAACTGGCCCGGACACGTCGACACCGCCGGAAGTAGAAACGGAACGTGCGATTGGTTACTTTCTTCAGAGAGCTTAAGAGCTTCTGGCGATTCCGAAGGGATTTTCTTATCCGTCGCTCATTGGTATCCGCCCCATACGAGTTGTACGTATTTAATGCAAGGAGAGGAAGGAGAAATTGTTAGGTTATATTTTCCTAGGTGAGTTTATCAATAAAAAATTAATTTTTTTTTCTAAAATACTTATTAAGGTACATTTTTTAGAATTTCTGTTGGTATCACCTAAAACCATTATAAAATTTATGTTGTTTTCCTGATTTCTAGTAACATTTTCAGTAACTAAGTAGTTGAGGTTAAATTAATAAATTTGCATAAATTAAAACAGTTATATATATTAAAATAACGTCAGTGTGACATATTTATTTCAAAACATGATGGGGCAAAACTCCCTGTTAATTTTACCAACTTTACAACAATTTGACAGGTATTATAGAATAAAAACGATCTTGTATGTCTTAATTTCGTTTAATGAATCATAATGAAAAAAATGATTTAACAAAAAAAATAAATTAATTATGATAACAATTTAGATCTAGAACTAAACGCAATATAAGCAACAAGAAGTGATAAAGTAGCAGCTAAAAATTCGCTTTTTAACCAAGGTCCATTAAAAGCCCCTGGATGATTAATAGTAACTCCAAATAACTCTGTGATTCCCGAAATTTCTTCCCCATTACGTAAAGCTTTACGAACAGCTGTATAACCATCTTCATCAAAAATTCTTATATTTCTATCTCCTCGTTTTGCGGAAGCGTTTACTTCGGTCCAACTAACCTATAAAAATTTATTCATTAGTAATTAACTCACAAAATTAAAGAATTAATCAACCTGATATTTATTTTGCCCAGTACTAGAAACAGGTACAACATTTCCATCAACCTCAGCATACAAATTAGTTAACCCCCCCGAAGTGCATTCAACTTCAAATTCGGCGATATAAGCAATATTCGATACAATCGTAGCATCTTGTGTCGTAAACGAATTTGAGGTTACCTTCGGTTGGCTGCAAGTTTCGGCATAGCTCGACGCGAACAAAGCGAAACACGCGATTATTACGCCGTATTGAACCATTTTCTTACAAAAATCGATGATTTCGCGACGAGTTTAATTCAAAAACTGATTCGAAACGGTTAAAATCGAAAAACGAAGTGTTGAAGTGACACGTACAAAAGTTAGTTGTCACTTTTTGACAACCGATCGATGATTTGGAGGCTCGCCGGTAAAGAAGCGAACTTTTTCGAAATTAACTTAATTCGTTTGAATTAAATTTTTTTATTATTATTACGGCGTATTGAGATTATCGCGACGAATTTGATTCAAAAACTAATTCGAATCGGTTAAAATCAAAAAAACGATGTGTTCGAAACTTAGTTGTCAGTTTTTGACAATCGATTTGGAGGTTCGCCGGTAAGGTAGCGAACTTACTCAAAATTAACTCGTTTGAATTAATAAATAAAATTGCTATTGTTGGGTTTAAATTGGATGAATAAAGAAAATAATTGGATTAAATTGAATTAAATTGAATTGAATTTAAATTGAGTTAATTAAAATTAATTTTGAAATGATAAAATTTGTTTTGTGTCGCCATCTATCGGTGACAAATCGAAACATAAACGCTTCAAATAAACGTTAATTTAGATTTATATTGTATATTTAAACAAAATAGTTATAATTTTCTATTCGCTACTCGTTCGAGAACCTTTTACTCGATGTCAAAAACCTCTTTTAGTTTTAGTTTAAAAGAGTTATTAACGCCATCTATGCTTCATATTTCAAAGTATTTTTTTTAAAACATTTAAATTTTAGTTTTAATTAATTAGACATCAATAATGTACAATTTATAAACAACACAAATATTTAAATCGGATTTTTATGGATTAATTACCACCTTTTGGACTGACAGTTCAATTAGAATGTAGATAACTTCACTTATTATTCCATGCAACATATACAGCTCGAACCAATAATCGAAAATAATTAATACCAATATAAGATTTATAATTAATAATTATGTTTAATACCAATATAATTAATATAAATATTAATGAACTGTTTTAAAATTCCGTGTCATCCACCTGCGCCATCTTTCCGTACATACTCCAATGACTATTAACGTGTAATTTTAGTTGCATAATCTTCAAAAAATAATTTAAATTTAATTTATTCTATAGTTTTCGAATAAATCGGATAGAATCGCCGATTCATCCGATTGAAGAAGATTGCGGGGAATCTTTAACGTTATACGACGCATCTTGGCCGGATGATTCGAGGATAATCAAGACTTTTTGTGATACCTTCTCCAAAGCAATGGAAAAGCACGATTTTGTGTCAACAGGGAATGCTTTATTCGTTCGATTCGAGAGTAAAACCGGAAGTTATAGCGGGTAATAAACTAAACAAAACATAAATAAACCATATTTAAATTTACTTGTAATTATGTTTTAGATCTAGTTTATATTATTGGGCTCATTACGATTTCTTCAATAACACTCGATTGGGTGAGCCAGTTCCTGAAAAAGCTTGCGATGAAGTTTTCGCCTCGTGGAAATCAAAAAAGGGATGGTTACGTTCGCCGTTAAATACTTTGGTGTATAAACAAAACCCTAGTAGTGAGGATGTGCAATGTTTGTACAGGTTTGTAACGGATAAGCGACTTTACGCAAGAGTTATCTTAACGATTTGTAACGTGCGGTTTAAAGAGCATCCATACAACTCGGGGTTATGCACGAATTGTTTGGAAGATCGTTTAGATAAATTATTAATTTGGGAACCTCTCCCACCGGGGGCGAATAATTCGCACCCCCCAATTTCTTTATCAAAAGCAGCCCAAAGCGGGGAAGTAACCTGCATTTGCAACCGCCACACAGGATCAACCACCGTTATTTCACGAGGTGAACAATTAAATTTGCAATTAATCGTTGATTCAGCTCACGCAGCTATTAGTTATTTCAAACATAATTCACCATTGTTTGAAGCAACTTATGAATTCGTGCATGGTCCATTGTGTGGACCCCCGATTATTCACCCAACGACTGATGGTGATATTCATTATCCTTATTACGAAGCGATAGGTTACGTTGAGCCACCAAAGAGTATTCGTTGCATTTGGGAAATTCGAGTCAATCGAGATCGCGATTTGCTTTTAGTTTTCGATCGGATTAAGTTTGCTTCAAAGTTTTGCGATGATGGAATAATTGATTTTTTTATAAAAGGTCAACTAAATCCGTATCTTTCAATTTGTGGCGAAAACGTTTCCTTAGCTAAAGAACTTCCAGTGTTAACAGCGGAACAATTAAGCCCCGACGGGCGAGAACCCGGCGTTATCATCCAATTTATTGGGACAACATCCCCAACGAGGGCTGCTTTTAAAATCGCATGGACCGAACTTTATCATTTACCAAGAAACACCGATGGGAGTTTATCATCGAAGTTATTAACGTCAAAATTAACGGAGGGGGGGAGTTTTGGTGATGGGATGTTGGAACATTGCGAATTTAAATGCCCCGGTGAAGCTGGGTTGTGTATTCCGGCTCGTTTGGTGTGTAATGGTGTGATAAATTGTCCGAATATAACCGGAAATCGCGTTGGTGACGACGAAGAAAGTGATGAGTCGGAGAAATTGTGTCGGAAAGAGGAGGTTTTTGAGTACAATTGGTTGTATATTGGTATAGCATCGATTGGGTCGTTGGTTTTGTTGTGTTGTGTTTGCGTTTGTTTGTGTAGGAGGTGTTTTTGTAAAAATTATTGTAATGACGATGATTAAACAATTAAGCGAGACAAAAAGAACGAAAGGAAACGTGAAACGAGACTTTAATAACTAATTAATTAATTAACTAATCGACGAAAACGCCTTATCCAAAAGAATATAAACAAAAAAATCAAGTTAATTTTAAAGTAAAAGAGACGGAAAAATTAGTTATCGAGGAGTTAGTGTTCATTTACACAGTCAAATTTAATACTGTGTTCTAAAGGCACAAACCACCGAAGTTCACTAATCACTTCGTTTTTAAAGAAAGTATCCCATGCGTTAATTAGAAAGGTAAATGAGTTAATAAAGAATAATAAGGAAATGGAAAGCGCAAGTGTTCTAACATAAATCATAGTTTATCCAAAAAATAACAAAAAAAGAAAAAAAATGTCTATATATTTTAAGATTTTTTAACAATGAACAAGAAAAAATTGAATTGTGTAAATATATATTCCTATGTAATTTCGCATACATAAGTGATAAAACCGACAGATGATTACAAAAAAAAAGGAAATTGTTCTAAAAAATAATGATGATTATTTATTTCCCATCATTTTTATCCAAATTCCTCCAAAATTATTTTATTTTAATAATTTAAATTTGCCGCTTAAAAAAAATTATTTAGCGCCATCTTTGGGTTGAAATCGAAACTAATTTGTGTATCTGTCAATTTGTAAGCTTCTTTAACCATCTCAACATTTTTTATAATTTTCGTATTAAATTCTACTAATTATTAAAAATGAAGTATCGTAACGCGTTTTTAAACAAATTTCGCATATTGTTGTAACATCCTTAAGCCTCGCGATGTGATTTTATCCCCGAATCCTGTGATAAACAACTTTAGTGAAATTTTAAATTTCAATCATCGGATTTCGTTCAAATCTTTTATTTTTGTGTTTACTAATTGAGTCGGAACGTTTAACTCGGAGTGATAAAGGTAAATTATTTATTTATTTCATTTTTAGTTTTAACACGATTTATTTTATCTTTATTAGCGCCATCTTTGGGTTGAAATCAAAACTAATTGTGTATCTGTCAATTTGTAAGCTACTTTATTTATCTCATCAATTTTTATAATTTTCGTGTTAAAAATGTGGTTATTATTAAAAAGTAACTATCGTAACGCGTTTTTAAACAAATTCCGCATATTGTTGTGAAATATTTAAGTCTCGCGATGTGATTTTATCCCCGAATCCTGTGATAAACAATACTTTAGTGAAATTTTAAATTTCAATCATCGGATTTCGTTCAAATCTTTTATTTTTGTGTTTGATAATTGAGTCGGAACGTTTAACTCGGAGTGATAAAGGTAAATTATTTATTTATTTCATTTTTAGTTTTAACCCGATTTATTTTATCTTTATTAGCGCCATCTTTGGGTTGAAATCAAAACTAATTTGTGTATCTGTCAATTTCTAAGTTTTGGTCATTTCAACATTTTTTATAATTTTCGTGTTAAATTCTACTTATTATTAAAAATGAAGTATCGTAACGCGTTTTTAAACAAATTCCGCATATTGTTATGACATCTTTAAGTCTCGCGATGTGATTTTATCCCCGAATTCTGTGATAAACAATACTTTAGTGAAATTTTAAATTTCCATCATCGGATTTCGTTCAAATCTTTTATTTTTGTGTTTGCTAATTGAGTCGGAACGTTTAACTCGGAGTGATAAAGGTAAATTATTTATTTATTTCATTTTTAGTTTTAACACGATTTATTTTAACTTTATTAGCGCCATCTTTGGGTTGAAATCAAAACTAATTTGTGTACCTGTCAATTTCTAAGTTTCAGCCATCTCAACGTTTTTTATTATTTTCGTGTAAAATTCTGCTTATCATTAAAAAAGAACTATCGTAACGCGTTTTTAAACAAATTGCACATATTATTCCGAAATCTTTAAGTCTCGCGATGTGATTTTATCCCCAAATCCTGTGATAAACAACTTTAGTGAAATTTTAAATTTCAATCATCGAATTTCGTTCAAATCTTTTATTTTTGTGTTTGATAATTGACTCGGAACGTTGAACTCGGAGTGATAAAGGTAAATTATTTATTTATTTCCTTTTTAGTTTTAACCCGATTTATTTTATCTTTATTAGCGCCATCTTTGGGTTGAAATCAAAACTAATTGTGTATCTGTCAATTTGTAAGCTACTTTATTCATCTCATCAATTTTTATAATTTTCGTGTTAAAAATGTGGTTATTATTAAAAAGTAACTATCGTAACGCGTTTTTAAACAAATTCCGCATATTGTTGTGAAATATTTAAGTCTCGCGATGTGATTTTATCCCCGAATTCTGTGATAAACAATACTTTAGTGAAATTTTAAATTTCCATCATCGGATTTCGTTCAAATCATTTATTTTCGTGTTTGAGGATTAAATCGGAACGTTTAACTCGGAGTTAAAAAGGTAAATTATTTATTTATTTCCTTTTTAGTTTTAACCCTATTTATTTTATCTTTATTAGTGCCATCTTTGGGTTGAAATCAAAACTAATTTGTGTACCTGTCAATTTCTAAGTTTTGGTCATTTCAACATTTTTTATAATTTTCGTGTTAAATTCTACTTATTATTAAAAATGAAGTATCGTAACGCGTTTTTAAACAAATTCCGCATATTGTTATGACATCTTTAAGTCTCGCGATGTGATTTTATCCCCGAATTCTGTGATAAACAATACTTTAGTGAAATTTTAAATTTCCATCATCGGATTTCGTTCAAATCTTTTATTTTTGTGTTTGCTAATTGAGTCGGAACGTTTAACTCGGAGTGATAAAGGTAAATTATTTATTTATTTCATTTTTAGTTTTAACACGATTTATTTTATCTTTATTAGCGCCATCTTTGGGTTGAAATCAAAACTAATTTGTGTACCTGTCAATTTCCAAGTTTTGGTCATTTCAACATTTTTTATAATTTTCGTGTTAAATTCTACTTATTATTAAAAATGAAGTATCGTAACGCGTTTTTAAACAAATTCCGCATATTGTGAAATATTTAAGTCTCGCGATGTGATTTCATCCCCGAATTCTGTGATAAACAATACTTTAGTGAAATTTTAAATTTCCATCATCGGATTTCGTTCAAATCTTTTATTTTCGTGTTTGAGGATTGAATCGGAACGTTTAAATCGGAGTGAAAAAGGTAAATTATTTATTTATTTCCTTTTTAGTTTTAACCCGATTTATTTTAACTTTATTAGCGGTATTAGCGCCATCTATGAGTTGAAATCAAAACTAATTTGTGTACCTGTCAATTTCTAAGTTTTAGCCATCTCAAGGTTTTTTTTTTTTTCTCAACGTATCGTAACGCGTTTTTAAACAAATTCCGCATATTGTTGTCAAATATTTAAGTCTCGCGATGTGATTTTATCCCCGAATTCTGTGATAAACAATACTTTAGTGAAATTTTAAATTTCCATCATCGGATTTCGTTCAAATCTTTTATTTTTGTGTTTGCTAATTGAGTCGGAACGTTTAACTCGGAGTGATAAAGGTAAATTATTTATTTATTTCATTTTTAGTTTTAACACGATTTATTTTATCTTTATTAGCGCCATCTTTGGGTTGAAATCAAAACTAATTGTGTATCTGTCAATTTGTAAGCTACTTTATTTATCTCATCAATTTTTATAATTTTCGTGTTAAAAATGTGGTTATTATTAAAAAGTAACTATCGTAACGCGTTTTTAAACAAATTCCGCATATTGTTGTGAAATATTTAAGTCTCGCGATGTGATTTTATCCCCGAATTCTGTGATAAACAACTTTAGTGAAATTTTAAATTTCAATCATCGAATTTCGTTCAAATCTTTTATTTTTGTGTTTGATAATTGAGTCGGAACGTTTAACTCGGAGTGATAAAGGTAAATTATTTATTTATTTCCTTTTTAGTTTTAACACGATTTATTTTACCTTTATTAGCGCCATCTTTGGGTTGAAATCAAAACTAATTGTGTATCTGTCAATTTGTAAGCTACTTTATTTATCTCATCAATTTTTATAATTTTCGTGTTAAAAATGTGGTTATTATTAAAAAGTAACTATCGTAACGCGTTTTTAAACAAATTCCGCATACTGTTGTGAAATATTTAAGTCTCGCGATGTGATTTTATCCCCGAATTCTGTGATAAACAATACTTTAGTGAAATTTTAAATTTTCATCATCGGATTTCGGTCAAATCTTTTATTTTCGTGTTTGAGGATTGAATCGGAACGTTTAACTCGGAGTGATAAAGGTAAATTATTTATTTATTTCCTTTTTAGTTTTAACCCTATTTATTTTATCTTTATTAGCGCCATCTTTGGGTTGAAATCAAAACTAATTGTGTATCTGTCAATTCGTAAGCTACTTTATTCATCTCATCAATTTTTATAATTTTCGTGTTAAAAATGTGGTTATTATTAAAAAGTAACAACCGAACGCGTTTTTACACAAATTCCGCATATTGTTGTGAAATATTTAAGTCTTGCGATGTGATTTTATCCCCGAATTCTGTGATAAACAATACTTTAGTGAAATTTTAAATTTCCATCATCGGATTTTGTTCAAATCTTTTATTTTCGTGTTTGAGGATTAAATCGGAACGTTTAACTCGGAGTGAAAAAGGTAAATTATTTATTTATTTCATTTTTAGTTTTAACCCGATTTATTTTATCTTTATTAGCGCCATCTTTGGGTATAATTCTATATTATTGATTCAAGAATCATTTTTTTTAATTTTTATTTACTTTAGCATATTTAATAACAAATTCTTGAACGCAAAACGTATTTATTCAACGGTTTTAAGTATACAAAAATTCAGTTATTATCGGATTGTTTCGGAAAATTTACAAATTTTGTGTTGCTCGGTTACCATTACTTACCGACCAGTAACGGCCATTTTGGTGTAAAGAACCAATAAGAATTCAAGCGGGAAAATAGACTTTTTTAAATGAGTCAATATTTTTTTTACTCATTTATGCAGGAAAATGCGTTTTTGAGTCACTTTTTTCCAATAAATATCGGATTTATTACAAATTAAAGATAATGTGAATGTTAATTAATCTTAACAAAGCTGTAAAGGTAAGTGAATATTTAATTTATTTTTTTATGTTTAAATACCAACAGTATATTTAAACTTTCATCTTTCTGTCATAATTTAAGTCTATTACTATCCGTGTCAAAAATCGAGTCCCCTCACTTTAGAGATGGATATCTTCACAACCGCTCTATGAAAAGAATTGACCGCTCTGAAATAATATTCAAACAAATTATAATATGCATTTTTGTTGGTGATGACATTTAATTCGTAATCTGCATTAAAAATCCTACAATTTGATACCAAACACGACGTATTTATATAAAAAATTAAAAAAGATAGGTTAAAATCAACAATGAGACCGCCATCTTGAATTTTTTATTATTAAAATTTGTTGTCTTGGTTAATTTTTGAGATAACCTCGTCGAGTTTGGACTCATTTTAAAGCATCTTTAATTTAGTTTACGATTTTGAATGAATTAATTCTTTTTGAAAATATTTATAAAAGCGGAAATTTAATTTTTTTTATGATAATATTAGATTCGTAATCTATATTAAAATCCCTTTAATTTGATACCAAACACGCCATATTTACAACAAAAAATAAAAAAAGTTAGGTTAAAATCAACAATGAAACCGCCATCTTGAATTTTTTATTAAAATTTGTTGTCTTGGTTCGTTTTTGAGATAACCCCATCGAGTTTGGACTCATTTTAGAGCATTTTTAATTTACTTTACGATTTTGAAAGAAATAATTCTTTTTGAGAATATTGATAAAATTCGAATATTTCTCTAAATATGGTTAGGTTTATCGGTTTATCCTAAGTTATGGAAATCTGGTTTGGTGACCGAATAAAACCCGGATTTAGATATCCTAAAGTGTGTTCTTTTTAAATTGATAAGGTCGTTTTTTAATTCGTGGTTTAAAGTAGTACTCGTTCTTTACTTTTTGCCGCTGTTGATATCAACATATTGACAGGACAAAGCCGTTTTAGATGAAGGAGAAACCAGACTCTCTAGTGACGTATTTAATATTATCTTCAAAGATAACGAAGAATCAATAAGTATGGAACCTGAAGTTTTTATATGTATCAAGTCACAATCATATCTTCAAATGAATAAGTTGTTAAAATGCTCAAAATGAACATATTCGAATATCCGGGATTATTCAAACTTGAAATTTGAACCTTACTTTGAATTTCACAATTTAAGTGCCTCTATAAAATTAAGTATTGATAAGATATGATTATTTAGGTGTCATTTATATAGTTAGCGTTATAGAAATAAAAAAATTGAGTACAAATTACATAAAAATAGCTAACACTATTTCTTTATGTAAAAAAATTTTTTCTTTAGCACAATTAAGCGTGTTTATTTCTTATTATTCATTAAACACTTTGATAAGTCCATTTCCAATTAAATCAAACCGATAACAACATTTTTACCCAGATATAAAACGAGGAAAATGTTTGGAACCAATCAATAGTTCTGACTCTGACTCAGTCGTAATCTCGGTATTAAAGGTGAAAGTTTGCACCACGAGCACTTCAAACATTAATTTATCAAGATTATGATCAATTTGATGCGTAATCTAACTAAATTAGTATATAATAAATGATTTATACCAAAAATCTTCAGTTTACGACTTCAAACGATTCCTAAAAGTGTCCCACAATGTGTAAAGAAATCAAGTTCATTCAACTAAACGGAGCCCCAACAAAAGTAATCACATGGGGGAAAAGTTTGGGTGAAAAATTCTACAGCGACGACCACAAAGAATTAATTCTGGTAATTCCTGGAAACCCCGGGGTCACTCAACTTTACGAACCATTCCTCGATAACCTCTACGCTCAACTTCAAAAACCAATTTGGATCGTTGGACATTCAGGACATGAAAAACCCGAAGATTTCGACACAACCCAAAAAGAAACCCCGTTCAACTTCACTTTAGAAGCTCAAATCAATCACAAGAAAACGTTCATCGAAACCTACATTCCAAAGGACATTAAAATCCATCTCGTGGGGCATTCCGTCGGTGCATTCTCAAGTTTAAAGTTACTCGAGGACGAATCGATAAAAAATCGTATCAAAAAGACGTATTTCATGTTCCCCACGATCGAACATTTGGGTAAATCGAAAAACGGGCTGTTTATGACGCGGATAATTAAACCGATCGTTCCAATTATATTGTTTTTGGCGTGGATTTTTACTTTACTCCCGGCGTTAATCCAAATATTTTGCATTCACATTTATCTATTCGTAACGGGGATCGAAAAACATCATTTAGACGCTATCGTTAAATTTGTTGACCCGTTTATTTTACGGAATATTTTTCAAATGGCGTATGATCAAATTCGAGACGCAACTAAACGACCCGACGATAAATTAATGAAACATAAGGATATTTTGCAGTGTTATTACGCCGAAATAGATAATTGGGTACCTAGGAAGAGCCCCAAAAATCTTATGGCTACCTTGCCCCAATTAGATGTTGAAATCTCAAAGGATGGGGAACATTGTTTTGTGTTGTATCAATCTAAAGAGATGGCAGATATCGTTGTTAATTGGTTTAGATGATTTCATTTATTTTTGTATACTTATTTATTTTAATTTAAGACAAAATAAAACGCATTTAATTCTTATTTTTTCTTTTTTGTTACAAGTTAACCAAATTAAAATACATTTTATTTAACTTCTTTCACTTGTAAACCCGGTGGTAAGGATTGCTTGAGCTTTTCCGCCTTCTCCTTCTCCACAATAACCAAAGTGTACAAAAACCTTGAGCATCGCACTTTAAATTTGGTGTTATCCGGGTTCTTCTTTATTTTAACAGCTACAACAAAATACATTAATTAAATAAATAAACTATAACAAAAACTTACATTTAGCATCCTTCCTCCTCGCTTTTAACAAGAAATCTTTGATTTCGGTGATTTGTCGCGGCTAAAACACAAAAACGCCATTTAGATTGAGGTTAGGTTAAAAAAAGTGAGGTTAACTCACCATGTTTATACACGTTGTCGGATAATCCCTACAAATTTAATAAAAACGTATTAAAAAGGGTTATTAGAATCACCTTTGATGGGATTAAAACAATTTTACGTGCTAAATCGGTTAAAATTGGGCGAAAAATTCCCAAACATACTCACCTTTATGAGACAACTGTCAAAATGGTAGAAATGTCCGTTGTTGATTTGGCTTGTTGGTAGATGGCGCGACAACTTCCTTTTAATTATAAAAAAGGGGGAAATTCAAATTTTTGACGAATTTAATGAATCAAAATTAAATCAAACTTTATAATCGCCTTAAATTAAATTAATTATTATAATAAAAATAATATTTGGTTATAACAAATTAAAAAAATCAAAATTAAATTATTGATTTTTTTTTTGGTATGCAACCCAATATACACAAAGAATCACCTCATATTAAAAAATTATAATTGATGATCTCTGAACATTAAGTGCATTAAGCAGTAAATTCGAAGATGCAACGTGATTATTTATCGATTAATAATGTCCCAACAAGAATATTAACTTGGGGTAAAACTTTATTGGATGATTTCGATGAAACCGACGAACTGATTGTGGTTATATCTGGAAATCCTGGTATAACGGAGTTTTATATCGAATTTTTGGATCAATTACATGCAAAAACGAACGCCTCAATATGGATATTATCGCATGCGGGGCACGAAATCGTCGATAAAAATAATGTACCTTCTCGACAAGGTAACAAAAAGGTTTACGATTTAGAAGGACAAATCAAACATAAAGTAAGTTTTAATTAGAAACTTAATTTGCTACTTAATCGATAGATAAGGAATTAACAGTGTTTAAAGTTATAATTATTACATAATTAATTAAATACCTTTTTATTAGAAAAAAAAAAATTGAGGTTATGTCAACTGTCAAATTCTTTAAGATTAATTTTTATTTAATAACAAATTTAATTTGTTATATAAAGATTATTTTAAACTGTATTTAATGTTTAAATTTATTATTATTATTACATAATTAATTAAACATTAAAAAAAAAAAATTGAGGTTATGTCAACTGTCAAAGTCTTAAATATTTATTTTTATTATTTTAATTACAAACCCAATTAGTTATAATGGATTATTAAAACTGTCAAAAACACATTAAAAATAAAAAGAAAATGTGGAAAAGTGTAGAACATACCGAAAAATTACATTAAAGTTCGATGTGACGTCACATTTTGTGAAAAGCCGAAAACTAGAAACATTCTGATTTAGCCCCATGTCTCTCAAGACGGCTAAACCTAAATGATTCTAGTTCTAGGTCTAGTGTTAGTTCTAGTTTTACACTAACACTGTCACTAGAAGTAACACAAGACCTAGAACTAGAAAATTCTAGTTCTAGAAAACTTTCTAGTTCTAGTGTTAGTTCTAGTTTTACTGCAATAAAAATGCAACATAGTAATATCTTATACTAACTAGCGCTACCTACCACTATCACTAGAAGTAAGATTAGACCTAGAACTAGACTCATTCGGGTTTAGCCGTCTTTAGAGACGTGTGGCTAAACCCGAATGATTCTAGTTCTAGGTCTTGTGTTAGTTCTAGTGATAGTGCTAGTGTGGAACTAGAACTAAAAATCTTTTGAAAACAGTATCTTTCATTTCCAAGCAGATAATAGTTTCTCTCAGCAGTATTAGGTTGTAATCTTTTCTAGTAGTATATAACACTTTGAAAGCGGTAAGTAGTCTTATGGAAGCAGTATTTCGTCTTTCCAAGCAGTTTGTAGTTGTTTGTTAGCACTGTCTAGTTTTCTCCAAGTAGATTGTAATCTTTTCCTCCAGTATCTAGCATTCTGGCAGCATTAGGTAGCCTTTTATGAAGCATATTTCTTCTTTCCAAGCAATTATTAGTATTTTCCAGCAGTCTCTAACATTCTACAAGGAATAGGTAGCTTTTTGGAAAGCATATCTCTTCTCCAAACAATTATTAAAGTCTTTGAAAGCAATCAATGGTCTTGGAAGCAGTATTCCGCATGTCCAAGTAGGTCAAAACCTTTAACAACAGTGTTTAGAGTGCTGGAAGCAATAGGTATTATTTTGAAACTAGGTATTTTGGTTACTTTCTGCAGTATCTAGCATTTTAGAAGCAGTAGGTAACTTTTTGAAATAGTATTTTCTCTTTCGAAGCAATATTTAGTCTTCTCCAAGTAGGTTGTGATCTTTTCTAGTAATATACAGCGCTCGGAAAGCAATAAGTAGTCTTATGAAAGCAGTATCTTGCCTTTCCAAGCAGTTTGTAGTTGTTTGTTAGCACTATCTAGTCGTCTGCAAGCAGTTTGTAATCTTTTCTACCAGTATCTATCATTTTGAAGCAGTAGGTACCTTTTTTGCAGAGCATATCTCTTCTTTCCAAGTAGTTCTTAGTCTTTTCAGTAATATTTAGCATTCTGGCAGCATTAGGTAGCTTTTTGGGAAGCATATCTCTTCTTTCCAAGCAGTTATTAGTCGTATAGACAATATCTATCCTTTTAAGCAGTTTCTAGTATTATATAGATAGTATTAGTCTTTTGCAAGGAGTTTTTAGTCTTCTGTCGGCAGTATTTAGTCTTCTACAATCAGTATTAGTATTCTGCAATCAATGTGTAGTCTATTGGTAGCAATAAGTAACCTTCTATAGACAGTATCTATCTTCTTTCAGAATTTTTTGGTATTGTATAAGTAGTATTTGTCTTCCGCAAGGAGTTTCTAGTCTTCTGCCAGCAGTATTTGGTCTTCTACAAGCAATATTAGTATTCTGCAACAAATTTCTAGTCTGTTGGTAGCAGTACCTAACCTTTTATAGACAATATCTATCTTTTAAAGCAGTTTCTAGTATTGTATAGATAGTATTAGTCTTTTGCAAGGAGTTTTTAGTCTTCTGTCGGCAGTATTTAGTCTTCTACAATCAGTATTAGTATTCTGCAATCAATGTGTAGTCTATTGGTAGCAATAAGTAACCTTCTATAGACAGTATCTATCTTCTTTCAGAATTTTTTGGTATTGTATAAGTAGTATTTGTCTTCCGCAAGGAGTTTCTAGTCTTCTGCCAGCAGTATTTGGTCTTCTACAAGCAATATTAGTATTCTGCAACAAATTTCTAGTCTGTTGGTAGCAGTACCTAACCTTTTATAGACAATATCTATCTTTTAAAGCAGTTTCTAGTATTGTATAGATAGTATTAGTCTTTTGCAAGGAGTTTTTAGTCTTCTGTCGGCAGTATTTAGTCTTCTACAATCAGTATTAGTATTCTGCAATCAATGTGTAGTCTATTGGTAGCAATAAGTAACCTTCTATAGACAGTATCTATCTTCTTTCAGAATTTTTTGGTATTGTATAAGTAGTATTTGTCTTCCGCAAGGAGTTTCTAGTCTTCTGCCAGCAGTATTTGGTCTTCTACAAACAATATTAGTATTCTGCAACAAATTTCTAGTCTGTTGGTAGCAGTACCTAACCTTTTATAGACAATATCTATCTTTTAAAGCAGTTTCTAGTATTGTATAGGTAGTATTAGTCTTTCGCAAGGAATTTTTAGTCTTCTGTCGGCAGTATTTAGTCTTCTACAAGCCGTATTAGTATTCTGCAATCAATGTGTAGTCTATTGGTATCAATGACTAACCTTCTATAGACAATAACTATCTTCTGCAAGCATTTTTTAGTATTGTATAGGTAGTATTTGTCTTCCGCAAGGAGTTTCTAGTCTTCTGCCAGCAGTATTTGGTCTTCTACAAGTAATATTAGTATTCTGCAACAAATTTCTAGTCTGTTGGTAGCAGCATATAGCCTTTTATAGACAATATCTATCTTTTAAAGCAGTTTCTGGTATTCTATAGGTGGTATTAGTCTTTCGCAAGGAATTTTTAGTCTTTTGCCGGCAGTATTAGTATTCTGCAACCAATTTGGAGTGTATTGGTAGCAGTACCTAGCCTTCTATTGACAATATCTGTCTTCTGCAAGCAGTTTCTAGTATTGTATACGTAGTATTTGTCTTCGCAAGGAGTTGTAATAGTTTCTCTCAGCAGTATTTAGTTTTCTACAAGCAGGTTGTAATCTTTTCCACCAGTATCTAACATTTTAGAAGTAGTTGGTACCTTTTTGGAAAACATATTTCTTCTTTCCAAGCACTTTTTAGTCTTTTCCGACAGTAGCTAATGTTCTGGAAGCGGTAGGCAGCTTTTTGGAAAGCATATTTCTTTTCCAAACAATTATTAAAGTCCTTGAAACCAATATGTGGTCTTAGCAGCAGTATTGCGCCTGTCCAAGTAGGTCAAAACTTTTATCAGTAGTGTTTAGCGTTCTGGAAGCAATTAAGCAGGTAACTTTTTGAAATAGTATTTCCTCTTTCCAAGCAGTTTTTAGTCTTTTACTAGCAGTATTTAATCTTCTGATAGCAATAATTAGTCTTTTGCCAATAGTATCTAGCATTCAAGTATAGATTTTAGGTTATCTTTAGTTTATAGATGGTAAACAATGACATTTTAGTCGTTGTGTGTCGAAAACCTAAAAAAATATATGGTTAGCACGGTCGATGACGTCACGTCGAAACTTTAAAGTGATTTTAAGTAAGTTTTACACTTTGACATGATGATTCTTGAATTATATCTTTTATCTTTATTCATTATCTTTTTGTTATTAGCTTTCTTGTTCGTAACCGCCATATTGGTTCATAGTTACCAACCGCTTACCATGAAAGTCACTATATATTATAAATAAGAAAAATTGAGGTTATGTCAACTGTCAAATTAAAATTTTTTTTTTAATATTTCAGAGAATCTTTATAGAAAAGTACGTTTTACCAAAAGGAATTAAGTTCAACTTAATAGGTCACTCAATTGGTGCATACATAATCTTAGAATTGCTTAAAAATGAAACAATTAACTCAAAAGTGCACCACAACTACTTATTATTCCCAACGATTGAGTACATGGCAGAAACACCGAATGGAGTATTTATAATGTCGATTTTACGACCGTTAAAATTCCTTTTACTCCCCTTAATCTATTTCATTTATATCCTTCCCATGTTTATAAAAATCTTTTTAATCTCGCTTTACATTAAATTCGCCGATATACCAAAGCGATTTATAAACATTGTTTTAGAATTTGTGCATCCGTACACGTTCCAAAACTTTTGCGATATGGGTATGGACGAAATGTACACGGTAAGAGCACGAAACGATGATATAATCAAAGCAAATTTAGAAAAAATCACTTTGTATTATGGAAAATCGGATTGTTGGGTTCCAATAAGTTATTACGATAAAATTAAAAAAGAAATTTATGGAATCAACGCCCAATTATGCGATAAAAATTATAAACACGCCTTCGTTTTACACGATTCCATAGAAATGGGGGATTTAGTTGGCGAATGGATTCAAAAAAATAAAACTAATTAAACAAAAAAAATGTTGAGTCATTTCAACCCACACTCAAGGACGTTTTAGTGCTTTTTATGTAAATATCGTTATTGATTAAACATTTTTGGATCAATATTTTAAAATGCTTTTAGTCACGCCACCATTTAAATTAAACCTTCTTCAATTTCAATTATATTAATGTTGTTAAATTAATATGTTAGTTATCCTTGGGTCTTTTTGGTCCGAAACTTGACACTTTCACAGTCCGCTAATTCGCTTTGAATACGAGAAAACCTTGATAACGAAGAAGAGATCCTCATGTTTCTAAACTGTGTTAATTTTTATCGTTATTGTAACCCAAAACGATGGGCGTTCAAATTTATCAACACTTTTTTTATAAATAAAATCGCAAAAAACCGGGTTTTGTGAAATTTTATGATTAGTACCGAGTTTGAGGTCGAAATGTGCACTTCGAAAGTGTTAAAACGAAAGGAAATTAAGAAAGGGGTTAAAAAGAGGAGTAGGAGGCGTTCGAGAAGTCGAATTTTAAAGAAGGTACGTTTTATTTGATGATAATTTGAGGTTGTAAAGAATTACTAGATGCGCTTTGGTGTTTATGTAATAAATAACACACCTACTAGCTTTGTGTTGACCGTGAATGCTCTATTTTTATGTCTGATTCAATTCAAACGAGAGTGTTGTCATCGCGTCAAGATCAGATTTCTCGGGTTTTATAACTTTCTTCATAGTTGGTAAAATTAAAGATTCATTTAGAATACAAACTAAAATTTAGTACCTATATATGTATTTAGAAAGTAAAAAAGAACTTAGCTTAAAAAAAATTTTTAATTTTGACAGTTTGTCAATTAGTGACAGTTAAGATTGACAGACAGGGAATTTTGTTGTATCATATTTTGAAAAAAAAAAAACTATTATTTATTATCAAGTTTAACATTTTAAATTGCTATGTGTATTCTTAATTGTTAATGATTTAAATTGTTTAACTTACAAGCATAAGTATTAATTAACAATTAGTGTCAGAATTATTTTTGATGAAATTTTGTTGGTATTGACTTAATTTTATTTATTCACATAAACATATCTAATCAATATTTTACCTTGAAAGAGTTAATTTATAAAAATATTGTTAATTAAATATCAAAAATAATCATTAATTTCATAAATTTATTCTTAAAAAAATTTTTTTTGCTAAAATTTTATGTTGGTTATTCTGATTATTAAAGACAACTTCAAGACGTCATTGTCAAAACAAGATTTTTGACGCTTTTAGCAAAGAAAAAGATTTTGTGTCGGTTTTTGTGCTAATGTTAAGTAAGATTTAAAGAAAATACTTATTATTGTGGGATTACATAAATTTTTTTAAGTGAGTATTAAACATTTTGATTAAATTTCGATTTTAGTTCAAATAACTTTGAGGTTGTGTCAGTTTGAAGTAGTACAAATTGATTTAATTGAGTTTTCCTCAACATTTTATTAATTAACTTTAAAACATAACGTTTACAACAACATGCCAAATTAAACATTAAAAATAATCATTAATCTCATATTCTTAATAAATTTTTTTTACTAAAATTTTATGTTGGTTATTCTGATTATTAAAGACAACTTTAAGACGTCATTGTCAAAACAAGATTTTTGACGCTTTTAGCAAAGAAAAAGATTTTGTGTCGGTTTTTGTGTTAATGTTAAGTAAGATTTAAAGAAAATACTTATTATTGTGGGATTACATAAATTTTTTTAAGTGAGTATTAAACATTTTGATTAAATTTCGATTTTAGTTCAAATAACTTTGAGGTTGTGTCAGTTTGAAGTAGTACAAATTGATTTAATTGAGTTTTCCTCAACATTTTATTAATTAACTTTAAAACATAACGTTTACAACAATATTGCAAATTAAACATTAAAAATAATCATTAATCTCATATTCTTAAAAAAATTTTTTTTACTAAAATTTTATGTTGGTTATTCTGATTATTAAAGACAACTTCAAGACGTCATTGTCAAAACAAGATTTTTGACGCTTTTAGCAAAGAAAAAGATTTTGTGTCGGTTTTTGTGCTAATGTTAAGTAAGATTTAAAGAAAACTTATTATTGTGGGATTACATAAATTTTTTTAAGTGAGTATTAAACATTTTGATTAAATTTCGATTTTAGTTCAAATAACTTTGAGGTTGTGTCAGTTTCAAGTAGTAAAATTGATTTAATTGAGTTTTTATCACCATTTTAATAATTAACTTTAAAACATAACGTTTACAACAATATTGCAAATTAAACATTAAAAATAATCATTAATTTCATATTCTTAAAAAAATTTTATGTTGGTTATTCTGATTATTAAAGACAACTTCAAGACGTCATTGTCAAAACAAGATTTTTGACGCTTCTAGCAAAGAAAAAGGTTTTGTGTCGGTTTTTCTGCTAATGTTAAGTGAGATTTAAAGAAAACTTATTATTGTGGGATTACATAAATTTTTTTAAGTGAGTATTAAACATTTTGATTAAATTTCGATTTTAGTTCAAATAATTTTGAGGTTGTGCCAGTTTCAAGTAGTAAAATTGATTTAATTGAGTTTTTCTCACCATTTTAATAACGTTTACAACAATATTGCAAATTAAACATTAAAAATAATCTTTAATTTCATAAAATTATTCTTAAAAAAATTTTTTTTGCTAAAATTTTATGTTGGTTATTCTGACTCTTAAAGACAACTTCAAGACGTCATTGTCAAAATAAGATTTTTAACGTTTTTGGCAAAGAAAAAGATTTTGTGTTGGTTTTTGTACTAATTTTAATTAAGATTTAACTTATTGTTGTGAGATAACATCAATTTTCTTAACTTATTGTGAGTATTAAACATTTGCATTATATTTCGATTTTAGCTCAAATAACTTTGCGGTTATGTCAGTTTTAAGTAGTAAACTGGTATAATTCAATTTTACCCAACATTTTAATACATTAAATACAAATTAAACATTAAAAATAATCACAAAATTATTATTAAAAAAATTTTTTTGCTAACATTTTATGTTGGTTATTCTGAATCTTAGAGACAACTTTAAGACGTCATTGTCAAAAAAAGATTATTGATGCTATTGAAACTAAGTTTGAGGTTAAGTTAATTTCAAGTAGTAAATTTAAATAATAATTAACGTTTATAAACAAATATGAAATTAAATCTTAAAAATAACAGAATTATTTGTAGTGATTTTTTTTAATAAAAAATTTTAGGTTGGCAATAAAATCGAAACCTCAATATGTCATTGTCAACATGTCAATCGATAAAATTTTCCTTTTAATTACTTTTTTTCGTAATTTTTTGGTGTATAGCGCGTTGTAGCATACTCTATATAAATAAATAACGTTTTAGTGTTGTGATTTAAGTGTTTTGTGATACCTCAACAAGAAATGAAAGTGTTATAATAAAAAAATTCGTTAATATAGGTCATGGAAACCGAGTAAAAACGAACGAGCCGATCTTAACTTGCGCTCTAGAGTGTGCTAGAGTGTTCCGAGTTCACCGCGAGACCTGGGGGAACTTATAAAAAGGCGCAGTCGGCTACGAGCAAACGTCATTTCGAAAATAGACGCGTTCAAAATCAGTTGTCATCTTAAAATAATAATAATAACAAGAAAAAAGTTAGAATAAACCCGAAACGTTTCTTTGAATACGAAAAAATGGTACGAACACCGGCTATTGGAATCGATTTAGGTACAACTTATTCTTGTGTCGGAGTTTGGCAACATGGAAAAGTGGAGATCATCGCAAACGACCAAGGAAATCGCACCACACCATCCTACGTTGCATTCACCGATAGTGAGCGTTTAATCGGAGACGCGGCCAAAAATCAAGTTGCGATGAACCCCTCGAACACCGTTTTCGACGCAAAACGATTAATCGGCCGGAAATACGACGACCCAAAGATTCAGGGCGATATGAAGCATTGGCCGTTTAAAGTAATCAATGACGGGGGGAAACCAAAAATCCAAATCGAATTCAAAGGTGAGATAAAACGTTTTGCCCCGGAAGAGATTAGCTCGATGGTTTTAACTAAAATGAAAGAGGTAGCTGAAGCTTATTTAGGCGTAACCGTCCGCGACGCCGTCGTAACCGTCCCTGCTTATTTTAACGACTCCCAAAGACAAGCAACGAAAGACGCCGGAATGATCGCGGGAATAAACGTTTTAAGAATCATTAACGAACCAACAGCGGCCGCTTTAGCTTACGGATTAGACAAAAACTTAAAAGGCGAAAGAAACGTGTTAATTTTCGATTTAGGCGGGGGTACTTTCGACGTTTCGATTTTAACGATCGATGAGGGATCTTTATTTGAGGTAAAAGCAACCGCCGGGGACACCCATTTAGGGGGGGAAGACTTCGATAATCGCTTAGTTAACCATTTCGCCGACGAATTTAAACGAAAATTTAAAAAAGATTTAACAAAAAATCCCAGATCGATTCGAAGATTAAGAACGGCCGCTGAACGCGCGAAAAGAACTTTATCATCAAGCACCGAAGCTTCGTTAGAAATCGATGCGTTATTCGACGGGATCGATTTTTACACGAAAATATCGCGGGCTAGATTCGAAGAGTTAAACTCAGATTTATTCCGAAGCACGCTTCAACCCGTCGAGAAAGCTTTAGGTGATGCAAAATTAGATAAAAGCTCGATTAACGACGTCGTATTAGTCGGGGGATCCACGCGAATCCCAAAAATCCAATCTTTACTTCAAAATTATTTTTGCGGGAAATCCCTAAATTTATCCATAAACCCCGATGAAGCTGTCGCTTATGGGGCCGCGGTTCAAGCTGCGATTTTAAGCGGGGATACGAGCTCAAAAATCCAAGACGTTCTTTTAGTCGATGTAACCCCTTTATCATTAGGAATCGAAACCGCGGGAGGTGTTATGAATAAAATAATCGAACGAAACGCGAGAATTCCATGCAAACAAACTCAAACGTTCACCACTTACGCCGATAACCAAACCGGAGTTACAATCCAAGTTTTTGAAGGTGAAAGAGCGATGACGAAGGATAATAATTTATTAGGAACGTTCGATTTGTTGGGGATTCCCCCGGCTCCGAGGGGGATCCCAAAAATTGATGTTACCTTCGATTTAGACGCGAATGGGATCTTAAACGTTTCGGCGAAAGAGGTTAGTACTGGAAAATCGAAAAATATCACGATTAAAAATGATAAAGGGAGATTGTCTCAAAAAGAAATTGAAAGGATGTTGGCGGAGGCTGAGAGATATAAAGAAGAAGATGATCGGCAAAGAGATCGAGTTGCGGCGAAAAATTCTTTAGAATCGTACGCGTTTAGTATTAAACAAACCGTTGAGGATCATGGGCATAAAATGAGCGGGGGAGATCGAGATATGGTGAAAAGGGAGTGCGAGCAAACGTTGAGATGGTTGGATTGTAACCAAACGGCGGATAAAGAGGAGTTTGAACACAAATTAAGGGAATTACAAAGGGTTTGTAGCCCGATTATGACGAAGTTGCATAAAGGGGCGGGGGATAAAAATGGGGCGTCTGATGGGCCGACCATTGAAGAAGTTGATTAAAATGGAACAAAATTCATTATGATTCGATTAACAACAAAAAAATATTATGGAATAATATTTAATTTAAAACGGAAGAAAAGAAGCACTTAGGTTTATAATTACTATTTTTTATATAGTCATATCTTTTTGTTTGGAAATGTAAAAAATTAATAAAGATATTAATAGATGTTGAAGTTTATCGTTTTATTTTTTCTTTCAAGTTTAAGTTAAGTTTAAGTTTATAAAGAATTGAGCACGTCAAGTTATTGATTATTCATGACTACCTTTTCTTTAGATTTATCGCGTTGTATCACGCAAAGGGTTAAAAAGGAGGATCGAAAATGTCAAGGTTTTGGTCAATTACAACACAAAGTGTTTAAATAATGACTAGCGCACGGAACTTTTGTAACAAAACGACACGATTCCCCCCTCCACTCGTTCTGNCTAGGGTGGAGTGGATTTGTGACAAGCACTCCATTCCTTAGGTATTGATCGATTACCTTTTCCATCCCTTTGAGGAGAAATGAAGTTAGGCTAATTGGTCTGTACGCCTTGGGGTCCGCGTTTGAACGCCTATCACCTTTAGGTATGAAGACCACCTTTACTTTCCTCCATAGAGTGGGTATATAGCTAAAGCACTACACCTAGAACTAGAATCATTTGAGTTTACCCGCACGTCTCTCAAGACGGCTAAACCCGAATGATTCTAGTTCTAGGTCTAGTGTTAGTTCTAGTTTTAGTTCAATAAAAATATACAATAATCTAACACTGATAACAACTAAAACTACTCTAAATTTCTTCCATTCTAGAATATAGGTCAAATTAATGAACTTGAAGAGTCGAATTCTCGGAAAGAAAAAAGATATTTAAAGTATAAAAACGGATTCTGTAGAGAAAAATGTTGAACTTTACCATTTCACCCAAATCGTAATAACCACTAGGTTTTATAAATAACGAACCGTAAACTACCTACTAAAACACCATTTTAAGCCGACATTTCCCCAAAATCCAACGCATTTCCAACGACCTGTTTATTATCTTTAATCTTGTTAAACGTTTCCAACTCGACTCTTTTAAATCATACGAATTACAAAATTCACCCCATTCATTTCATTGATCACCCTCATTATTAATTGATCAAAGCTGTTTGTTTCAATTCAAATGACCACAATTCAACGTAATATTAATTTCGTCAATTAATGTACATATTTCACTATTGTTCAGTATCGTTCAATATAGTTTAATATAGTTAATAAGCTAAATTTGGTCTGAAATTTCAATTTCGGTTATTTTTAATTGATAAAATCCAATCTGGGAGAGGTTCAATTGGAAATCATAGTTTTGGTTTTGTCGTGAACAAGAACTAAATGATTTTACGGTTGTTGTGGTGAGAACGCTGTTTTTATTGAGGATACAAAATACGAGTTGTCGCTGTTATTATTAAATTATTCACAATGGGTCTGCAAAGTTATGCAGAGATAACGTGTTGGTTTAGGTTGGTTTTTGTTGAATGAAATTTTTTTTTTGATTAAATCAACAATAAAGATATAACCTCAAAAATATTAATTTTTGTACCATACTGTTCAGTGGGAAATTAAAATTTCAAGTTAGAAAAAAATTGTTTTAACAAACACTGTTCCTGAAGCAATTCTTAACAAATATTGTTAAGAAAATTTTTTGATTTAATCAATAATTAAGGAGATAACCTCAAAATAATAATTTTTTCATTTTTATACATAATTATACTTAGATGCTGAATTAATAGAGATATAAAATTTTGTTATTAAGATAAGTGAACAAGAACTAAATGATTTTACGGTTGTTGTGGTGAGAACGCTGTTTTTATTGAGGATACAAAATACGAGTTGTCGCTGTTATTATTAAATTATTCACAATGGGTCTGCAAAGTTATGCAGAGATAACGTGTTGGTTTAGGTTGGTTTTTGTTGAATGAAATTTAATGCGGACATTTATAATAATAGAAAGTTGTAATAGAGATTGTTAATGTTAGATTACATTTTTTCTTTTATATTCAATTTGAAATGGATTCGGTTATTGTTGCAGTTTTGGTGGTTGATTTCTATTTAACAGTTCGTTCCTCTGTCCTTCCGACCTTACGAATAGCCAGTAATTGATTTCGCAACCCTCACAAATGGATTAGGAACTTGGCATGCCTTCGAAGTTAACCATCATCAGCGACGTTGTTGAGACCCCGAACTTCGCCCCCCGAAACCCACTTAATACTCGTTGGTCACCGTTTGTTTTGGACGAGTTTACGTAAACGGAAATTAACTTGGATATTAAAAGGTTACGTTGAATTCAATACGATTTATAAATTAAAATAAAAAAAAATAGGAATAGTAGAAAAGAAAGGAATCTTTCTTTTTTTCGGGGTAAAGAATGAAGGTGTAGGTGGGAAAAGGAGTTCATATTACTTAGAAAGGTGTGAAATCTGAATAAAATAAACGGGATCACGTCAAATAGCGCGTTTCATCAAAATGCCAGGATTACATCAAAATAAAAAATGTTTGCTTTTAAACCGTTGATTAGATCTTATTTATTTCGTTTTTTTTTATAAAAAAATTTAAATTCCAAAGGAAACGAAAAGAAAAATATCATGTATTGATTCTGGTTTAAATTGATATTGGAGATTGGGTTGGGATTGATTTTTCTTTTATCGGGGTTGAAACGGAGATGCATTGTTTAAAAATTGAACGAAAACAGAAGGTTCGAAAGTATAAGTAATGAGCGGGAGGGATTCAAAGGCGAAATTGGTAAGTTTTTGTCGAGTTTGTAAATTATAAAACGTCTCTTTTGATGGGAGACTGTGCAAAGGAAAAGATCAAACGTACTAAAAGAACCATCAGATTAAAAATCGCCTAAACTTTTTTTATAAAACTCATATCTTGTTAGAGCTTGTCCGGTCTGGTAAAGGAACCTTGATTTGTTAATCTTTTTGATATGAATGTAGTTGGTTTTATTAAGGATCCGATTTTATCTGCTTTATCAATTTTATTTTCATTTCAAATAATCTGTCAAAGTGTTGGAACGTTGGTGACATTTGGCAATATTAATGTGAAGTTTTTGACATCAATTTATCTCATAATGACATTTAAATTTCTTATTTTTTTTTAGTTCTATATAATCTAATGTTAGTTCTAGAGACAATAGAGACACATGTATTTTTATTGAACTAAAATTAGAACTAACACTACACCTAGAACTAGGAACAGTTCAAAGTCTAGTGTTAGTTCTAGTTTTGCACTAACACTATCACTAAATTAAGCTATGTTGCATTTTATGTAGGACAATGCAAGTGCATAGTAGTATCATAACTAGGGCACGGAACTTTTGTAACAAAACGATACGATTTTCCCCCTCCACTCGTTCTCAGCAAGAAAATCTTGATTAAAAGAACAACATACTATTCAGAGGGAAATTAAAATTTCAAGTTAGCAAAAAATTGTATTAACAAACACTGCTCCTCAAGTAATTCTAAACAAATTTTGTTAACAAAATTTTTTGATTAAATCAACAATAAGGATATAACCTCAAAAATATTAATTTTTGTACCATACTGTTCAGTGGGAAATTAAAATTTCAAGTTAGAAAAAAATTGTGTTAACAAAAATTGTTCCTGAAACAATTCTAAACAAACTTTGTCAACAATTTTTTTTGATTTAATCAATAATTAAGGAGATAACCTCAAAATAATAATTTTTCCGTTTTTATACATAATTATACTTAGATGCTTAATTAATAGAGATGTAAAAATTTTTTATTAAGATAATTGATTCAAAATCGAAATTGAAACAAATTTTATTTAAAACATTTTTTGATAAAAACAATAATTATTGAGATAATTAATTTTGATAGCATACTATTCAGAGGGAAATTAAAATTTCAAGTTAGCAAAAAATTGTATTAACAAACACTGTTCCTGAAGTAATTCTAAACAAATTTTGTTAACAACATTTTTTGATTAAATCAACAATAAGGATATAACCTCAAAAATATTAATTTTTGTAGCATACTATTCAGTGGGAAATTAAAATTTCAAGTTAGAAAAAAATTGTGTTAACAAAAATTGTTCCTGAAACAATTCTAAACAAACTTTGTCAACAATTTTTTTTGATTTAATCAATAATTAAGGAGATAACCTCAAAATAATAATTTTTCCGTTTTTATACATAATTATACTTAGATGCTTAATTAATAGAGATGTAAAAATTTTTTATTAAGATAATTGATTCAAAATCGAAATTGAAACAAATTTTATTTAAAACATTTTTTGATAAAAACAATAATTATTGAGATAATTAATTTTGATAGCATACTATTCAGAGGGAAATTAAAATTTCAAGTTAGCAAAAAATTGTATTAACAAACACTGTTCCTGAAGTAATTCTAAACAAATTTTGTTAACAACATTTTTTGATTAAATCAACAATAAGGATATAACCTCAAAAATATTAATTTTTGTAGCATACTATTCAGTGGGAAATTAAAATTTCAAGTTAGAAAAAAATTGTGTTAACAAAAATTGTTCCTGAAACAATTCTAAACAAACTTTGTCAACAATTTTTTTTGATTTAATCAATAATTAAGGAGATAACCTCAAAATAATAATTTTTCCGTTTTTATACATAATTATACTTAGATGCTTAATTAATAGAGATGTAAAAATTTTTTATTAAGATAATTGATTCAAAATCGAAATTGAAACAAATTTTATTTAAAACATTTTTTGATAAAAACAATAATTATTGAGATAATTAATTTTGATAGCATACTATTCAGAGGGAAATTAAAATTTCAAGTTAGCAAAAAATTGTATTAACAAACACTGTTCCTGAAGTAATTCTAAACAAATTTTGTTAACAACATTTTTTGATTAAATCAACAATAAGGATATAACCTCAAAAATATTAATTTTTGTAGCATACTATTCAGTGGGAAATTAAAATTTCAAGTTAGAAAAAAATTGTGTTAACAAAAATTGTTCCTGAAACAATTCTAAACAAACTTTGTCAACAATTTTTTTTGATTTAATCAATAATTAAGGAGATAACCTCAAAATAATAATTTTTCCGTTTTTATACATAATTATACTTAGATGCTTAATTAATAGAGATGTAAAAATTTTTTATTAAGATAATTGATTCAAAATCGAAATTGAAACAAATTTTATTTA